ACTCGCTCAAATCCTTACGCTTGCCCATTTTTATTAATATTTAAGCTACGTCATATCACGGTGCATTAATCGAAATAATAATAATAATAATAATAATAATAATAATAATAATAAGCCTTCTTCTTCTTTGGATTTAATGGCGGTTGGCAAACCAGCTTTGGTGCATTTCCGCCACCTACTGGGGTGGAGTGTGAAGCGTAAACGACGGAAATGAAAGGGGTCATATGATGCTGCTAAAAATAACATTATTTTGTGTATTTGGTGTAATGATATGTGTTTATGCGGTTTAAAGTGAAAAAAAATACATTATTTTCCACATACTGTACTTTATTGTTTCTCCTCTATGCCCCGCCTTTTTGAAACGCGTCGATTTTTACAAAGCTATGACGAAGCGGATATCGTCCTCTTTTGGAAGGCCAAACAAAGTAGTTTCTCTTTCACAACGAAGCACACAGCGTCTTCAGGACATGGCGGCAGCGGCAACAACAATACTACAGCGAGAATAAAAGTTACGCCTTCTTTCTTTGCGTGAACATTTGGGCGGCGTTATGCAAATCTTCCCACATCGTGACGTAGACATGTGGGGGCGTGTTAGAACGAGCCGTTTTAGGTAGGCGTGGTTGACTCTTAACTTTTATAAAGAATATCTCTTTGGATTTGAGACTTTAGTCTTTGCAACTTTACAGATCTTCTTTATGCACCAAGAGCTTGTAACACTCCGAAGAGAAAGGAAAAATTGAAATTGCATCATATGATGCCTTTAATTTTTTTTTCTCTAGGAAAAAAAAATTATTCTAATCTAATCAAACCAGTTTTCTTTTGATAATCTAATAACGCTTTAGTCACTGTTAAATTACCATCCAGCAAGCTCTTCAATGTTAACTTTTTTTATTCCTACAGTCTTAACTTCCTCTATGAGCTGAAATCTTTCTTCATTATAGGCTAATCATCACATTTGAGAAGAACACGTTCAGCTGTTTCTGGAATTCCACATTTGCTGCACAATCCTTTATTGTGTTTACCGATTTTAAAAAGTTATTAATTCAATGCAGTGTGCCGTGAAGTCGTGATAATATTGTATCATCCCTTCCAGTGTTGGGTGTAACGCGTTACTAAGTAATGTAAAGTAAAGTAAGGGATTACTGTTCATTTTTAGGTAATTTAATTACAGTTACTTATAAAGTATTTGCGTTATATACTGTAAATAATTTCAACAGTTCTAAAATCATTATTGAATTTGAAATCTAAATTTATAGCCTAAAGGTAAAATTGAATGCAGCGTCTTTAACCCTCTGCGCGCCGACCCCTTCACTTGCAGTTTTTCCTGATAAGAGAGAAAAGGACTTAAAATACCCAGATACAGATACGACTAAAATCAATCGAATCTATAAATGGTATACTTTTATTTGTGTACACTGACAATAACAACAAAACATTGTGCTTTTGTAAAATAAACAAAACAAACAGGGTGTGCTTTCTGCTGTTTTGTTCTCTGTGAACTTCTTTCTGAAATGCATCACAAAAACGAACCGAAACTCAGCGAATACTTCACACACAGACGTGAGAAATATGTCTATAGAAAACTTGAAGTGTCTATTTTTAAATGAACTAATTCAAATCGAAAACGAATAATGAACCAATTCAAATCGAAAACGAATATTCTCTGATTGTGTAATTCGTATGAAACTAAAGCGAGGTACAGTCTTTCCAGTCTCAGAGCTCATTATCTGCAGCTATACCTGCGCGCTAACGCCCTCATCACCTAGATACAAGAAAAATAGATAACAAAAAAAAAAAAAATCACGATTCATCTACTTGTCATTGTTTGTGGAAGAAGACTTGAGGAATAAGCCGGAATTTACCTCAGTGCGATCTGACTTTATTCAGTGGAGGAGATCATTTGTTACATTAATGTGTTCTTTTTTTAGGCTACATAAGCTTGTACGCATTTTACTAGTTGCGCATTTCCTATCTTGCCAAACTGAAATGTGTGAGAGTAAAATATGCTGAAATATGATATGCTATGATATGTTGTACACAGTATGTCAGTGTGTATGAAATATGGTACTAATTGCTCTGAAACGTTTAATGCTTACAGCTTGAAGTTGATACATGTCCCCCTGGTTTCACAGACAAGGCTGAAGTCTAGTCCCAAACTAAAATACATTTCTGAACTGTTTTAACTGAAATAAACTTGCACTGACATACCTTAAAATATGTCAGTTCCATTGTTTTATCTCAAGATGCACCAGTAATGTTTTCTTCTGGCACATTTATAAAAGTTACTTAAAAATTTACGTTTTTTTTTGTTATTAGTTGTTTGTTAACTAAAGAAGGTTACATTTTTTTATTAAAATGCTTAAGTATTACAGTTGTTTTAAAGCTAAAAGGCTAAACTATTCCATGTTTAACTCAAACTGAAAGAATTAAGAGTTTCATTTCAAGGTTTATAGAGATTTTATGAAGTAATTAACGATTAAAATGATTAAGTTACTTATTGAGTAATTAAGTTACTTTTCAGACAGAGTAATTATAAAAAGTAATTTAAATACAATATTGATGATGTAATTAGTAATAATTAATTAATTAATTTTTAAAAGTAACTTACCCAACACTGATCCCTTCTTTTGCCGCAAACCTGTCTCACACTTCCTACCTCGTTATTTATTTCATATAAATATCTTCCCTTTTCTTCCTGTGTCCATAACTCTTGCCATCTTTTCTTAATTACCTTTTAATTAAACCCTTCATTTCAGCTTTCCCCAGAGAGACATTAACATTAGGGGGAAGTCGTGGCCTAATGGTTAGAGAGTCTGACTTGTAACCCAAAGGTTGCGGGTTTGAGTCTCGTACTGGCAGGGATTGTAGGTGGGGGGAGTGAATGTACAGCGCTCTCTCCCACCTTCAATACCACGACTGAGATGCCCTTGAGCAAGGCACCGAACCCCCAACTGCTCCCCGGGTGCCACAGCATAAACGGCTGCCCACTGCTCTGGGTGTGTGTTCACGGTGGGTGTGTGTTCACTGCTGTGTGTGTGCACTTTGGATGGGTTAAATGCAGAGCACTAATTCCTAGTATGGGTCACCATACTTGGCCACATGTCACTTCACTTTTTTTTAAAACATTTATTCAAAGTAGAGCATAATATAGGGTTTCTGTGCATTCTAAAATATCCTTTAATGTTATGATATTAATTTCCATATTTTGTCATTTATTAACAAGCTGTTTCCTTTCTCTTTTATATGCCTCACAATGCAGAATCACATGTTCAGCTGTTTCTGGCATTCCACATTGAGTGCGGCAATCTGACTCGCTTTGCCCTATGATGTTCAGGGAAGAATTTAGATCCTTTTCTACTAATTTTACAGTGCGAATAGAGATCAAACATTGGTATTTGGAGCAGCCAAGGAGGTATTACTACCGTAGGACTTATTTTGATGTTATCCATTCCTGTTTTCTTGGCATGTACATCAGCCTTCCATCCAAAACTACTGTAATTTAAATACTGATGCTCCCAGCATTTTTTCCAACACTTCTTTAACCGGATGGGTATCTATGTGCCCCAATTCACACGCTACTCAACTGCTTAGACGTCACTTGAAGTGAAGACAGCTCTGATTGGTTTTTCTGCAACTGTATGTCATATCCAATAAGTGCTACGTAATGTGTAATTATTATGCTTTAAACATACCAATACACACACACACAGAGATTTTTATTTACTAATGTGAAATAATAAATTGTGCAATATTACAGCAAAATACGTTTAAAAGCTGCATAGATGCTATTCAAAGAAATAATAAAGTAATTAAGAAGTATTTAAAAAAAAGTAATTCCAACCTGTGAATTCACGTTTTCACAATTTTTACATTGCATAATAATGTCCCCCCCCCCCATTTTTTTTAAATTACTTAGAGGTTGTTGTATGGGTCACCATACTTGGCCACATGTCACTTCACTTTTTTTTAAAACATTTATTCTTGAATACTTTAAAGCCTTTTTTGCCAACTCGTCGGCTATTTCATTTCCCACAATCCCCACATGTGTTGGAATCCACAAAACGGAGATAGGTGTTAAGTTCTGAGTCTGGAGGGTTTCTATTAGAATGTCCTGTCTTGAGTAAGATTTTCCATTTTTTTAGACTAACAAGGCTTGATAAAGAATCAGAGCAAATAACAACTTGATGCAAATGAACCTCTTCCACCCACTGAAGGACCAGATGAATTGCAATCAGTTCTGAGGAGTGAACAGATAAAAAGTTAGATGTTCTTTTACTTATTTTAAAGTCCAGCTCTGGAATGACTACTGCTGCAGCTGTATTCCCAGATTCTGGATCTTTTGAACCATATATTTGAGTACAGTAATGATACTCTCGATCTAAATACTGTCTCACCAACAAATCTTTTGACACCTTTCTTTGATGATTCATTTCCAGTAATTGCAGCTCAACTAATGGCATCTGGAATAACCAGGGAGATATAGCTGCTTTTGCCCTGTTGGACTAATTTAGTAATCAAATAAATTGTGCAATATTACAGCAAAATACGTTTAAAAGCTGCATAGATGCTATTCAAAGAAATAATAAAGTAATTAAGAAGTATTTAAAAAAAAGTAATTCCAACCTGTGAATTCACGTTTTCACAATTTTTACATTGCATAATAATGTCCCCCCCCCCCATTTTTTTTAAATTACTTAGAGGTTGTTTTAAGACTTTTTATAATTAAAGAATATGTAGTTTTGATGCAATAAATATGTAGTTTTAATATTAAATTAATAAATTAATAATAATATATTGTTAGTGAAATGTTACGTTATATGTATGGTGGATGAAGTAGACACTAAAAAACTGTTTATTGATCCAACTACTTGAGACCATTCACATTTCATGATAAACTAAATAATTTACAGTTAAAAGTTAAACACAAACCACAAAAAAAGCACAAAATTATATATAAATATATTATGAAATATATTTTAAGAATGCATTTAAAATGGCTGGCAATCAATTGTCAGGCGAGTGTCCTCCCACTTCTAATGGTCAGTGATTAACTCCCATCCACGTTTACACTCCATTGCTCCATCTCTTTATTTGCACATGGAAAGGACTTATCCAGCAGCATGCAGAGCTGATCATATGTAGTTTAGAGGTCTGTAACTCGGGCCACCACAAAGCTGCTGAGTTTGCTGAGTTCATATAAAATATGAAAGCTTTATTGAAAATTCACAGGTTTTTGGACCAATTCAGAAGTGGGAAGTTGTTCTGAAATATTTATTATTAAAAAAATACAAACATGACCCAAAAAATAAAATGTAGAGAAACAAACAGTACAAATGATATGTATGTAAATGTTTTCAGGCACAGCCATGAATCACGCTGCCGGCAGAACAGTTCCACTGCTCGTCATCCAGCGGCTCATGCATACTTCTACACTGCAGCTCTCCAGACACAGCGTCAGTGAAGGAGCTCTTAGAGAAGTTCACCCACTCTCCGGTGACGTTTACTCCGTACACCTGGCACAGCTCAGCAGCCAGCGTGTCTTTCAGAAAGAGGAGGCGTGCCAGTCTCTGGAGCGGGTAGCGGCAGTTGCGGCTGCTGTGTCCGTGGCTGTAGAGCAGGAGCAGGTCTGTCCTGCAGGGCAGCAGGTGTCGGTGGACAGCACAGACCTGGATGAAGTCCAGTCTCTGGGCTAGACGGAGGAGCCGAACTGGATTGCGCTCCATATGTGCTCTGCTTACGGCCAGAGCCAGCCGAACAGCCGGAGAGCTGCGGATTCTCTCAGGCAGCTCAAGAACATGTTGAATGGCTTCAGTTGAACCTGAAAGCATGAAGAAAATATGTGAAAGTTTATCTGTTTATCTCCATTAGTAGTTTTTGCCATATTTACACTTGAGAGTGAAAAAGTAAAATATGGTGATGTGAAAATAGTGGAATGTGTGGGGAAACATTAATGCAAATGAGAAAAAAAAACACTAAATACACAGTGCTATTTTAGTGTTATTTAAGCAATATGCCCGTGAAGTCATGGTTTACAGTGTATTTACATCATGGAGCAGAGTGCCTAAAACCCCCTTAGCTGTTCTGAATCGGGTGTGCCTCACATGTCCTGAAAAGTGAAGCTGCAGGTTCTTTGATCGCCCCCTGGTGGCTGGCTGCAGTACAGGTCATAAACCCCACCCTCTCAATGTAAACGAATGGGACTTGAGTCAAAATAAAAAAATAAATTACACTTCCAATACAATTTTCCGAAAGATGGTTTTGGTCATTTAAGGTAGTTGATATCACGCTGATATATGTTCAATTGTTCGTTTTTCTGATAAGTTTGATTTTAGCTAGTAATTTGATGCTATAAAAACGGGGCGTGTCATTATGGTTTGATACCGCGGCTCCACCTCACGACTCTACTGCGCAGACTCTGGCTCCAAATGAATCTCTACTGTGCAGACTCTGGCTCCAAATGAATCTCTACTGTGCAGACTCTGGCTCCAAATGACGTCATTTACTCAAGATGGCAGCAGCCATACTCACATGCTTTGGCTTCACTTTTCTATAGTGGAAGGGATAGGAGACGCGTTATCCATCTTTTTTTACAGTCTATGTTCTGAATTCAATGTAAACCACGCTGCCAAGTTTACAATGCTTCACAGGGCTCATTGCTTTTATAAAATGGTTAGCCTGCCCTTAAGCCCACACATTGTGTCAAAATTCACAATAAAATCTGACATTTTGAAAATTTCTTTGATAAATTCTGATAGCAGAATGTTTGCCAAGTAACACACAGACACAATAATACTGATATAATGATGTCACAGGTGTATGTTTCTAGAGTAATGGCTGGAATACATCACAACTTTTGCCCTGATTTAGTCTGAACAAGTTGTCACTAATTGCTGAAAGTCAGAGCCAGTCTGCTGATTTGAGTTTACAGATTCCACAGAAAACCGTGTAGTGTATGATGGTCACAGACTCTGATTTTTTAGCTTTAGACTATGATTCCATCCAGTCGCGGGAGATCAAACATCAGACCTCTGCAGGCTTCCTGTTAATACAACCACGTATTGTACACGTTTTTTTAACAGAGAACATATGAAATTCGGCTGTCGCAATTTTATTTTATTTTTACCAGGAAAGGAGTGGTTTTGATGCACAAAATTGTTTTTATTGTCTCAAAAAAATATTTTATTTGAACCCATGAAGGCATATCCTGTTGTAAATAATAATAAAATCAATCACTTTTTAAAACTGCTGTTCCATTATAGCAGATTTTGACTTACATAATATAAGATTTTAGTCATATGTTGACACCTACACTGAACAAAATTATAAACGCAACACTTTTGTTTTTGCCCCCATTTTTCATGAGCTGAACTCAAAGATATAATTTAAAATGAGCAAAAAGTCTGAGATGAATAAATCAAGGGGAAAAAAACAGTAAAAACTGTAAAGAATCACTACAGTGAATCAATATACTGACACTGAGAGCTCTAGCAGCTTCCACTCACTTACCCAAGTTATAGAGAAGACTCAGTGCCTGAAACTCCTCTTGATGCTGGTGCTTCCCATCTCTGTAGCTCTCCAGCAACCAGCTCAAGCACTCCTGCAGGTGAGTGTCATTGATGCGTGGGTCAAAATACTGAAGTTGCTGCCCGCAGAGTCTGTAGGACGCGTAGAGAAGGAAACGCACGCTTTTCTCCAGCACGGCCACACAGTCCGGCCCCGACACACGCTGGATAATCATGTCCTGCCGAACACTACGCAGACGGTCAAACACAAAACTGTAGACCTGTGGGTCATAAACAACACAGGATTGAAATGGCCATCATATTACAGATAAAGGAATGACAAGATGCCATTTCCATACCTCCGCCCATGGCTGAAATGTAGAGGAAGCTGCAATGTCATCGACTAGGTGACACGCAGTCTTTAAAAGCACAGATGGAGGTCGAAGGTCGCTGGCTCTCGTGGAGTCTTTCCCCGCTGCAGGTCTCGAATACTCTTTGACGGCACGTGAGACATCTGCACGTGGCAAACGATCCCGCTCTGTGTCGGCCACCATCTCAAACCTGTGCAGTCGATTCTGTGCTTCCCGCTGGCGTAATTCATAAGCAGGACACATAGTCATACAGGTGCCATGAGGCACTGAGTCTTCAGCTCTCTGCTCCTCCACCCGTTCCCTGGTCACTCGACCCTGTTCCTTATGCCTGTGTCCTCGGCCCCTCCTAGACTGATGCCACCTGAACATCAAACAAGACAGAAAACATACTAAGAACTTATACTGGTCAAAAGTTTTATTTTATTTGTTTTTGAAATAAGTCACTGATTTTCACCAAAGCTGTATATATTTGATCAAAAAACAGAAAAAACAATAATATTGTGTAATACTATTACAATTTAAAACAACTGTTTTCTATTTCAATTTATTGTAAAATGTAACTTATTCCTGTGATCAAAGCTGAATTTTCAGCATCATTACTCCAGTCTTCAGTGTCATCATTCTAATATGCTGATTGGCTGGTCAAGAAACATTTCTTATTATTATCAATGTTGAAAACAGTTTTTGCTGCTTAATGTTTTTGTGATACACTAGCATTCGGGGTATATAAGATTTAAATTAATACTTTTATTCAGCAAGGTTGCATTAAATTGATTAAAAGATTTCTAATCCAATGAATGCTGTTCTTTTGAACTTTCTATTCATAAAAGAATCCTGAAAAAAACAACAACTTGGTTTTCACAAAAATATTAAGCAGCACAACTCAATAATAATTGATTAAAAACTGCAGCAAATTATTAAAGTATTAGCTGCTGAAAATTCAGCCTTGCGTCACAGGAATAAATTACATTTTAAAATAAATTAAAATAGAAAACACCTACTTCAAATTGTAATATTTAACAGTATTAACTTTTTTCTTTTAAAAAAGTGTCCTTGGTAAACACAAGAGACTTGTTTTTTTTTTTTTTATAATTATTCTAAACTTTTGACAGGTGGTGTGTGTGTGTGAGAGAGTATATTTCATCTCTAGTTTTTAAGTGTTGCAGAGGTCTGTAAGATGCTCACTGCATTCTTTCTCTTTGCTGACAATGACTGAAAATTTATTATTTCCAAATACATCGCCAAAACACATTTTATTCATTAACAATCTGACATGTGCATGCAGTAACCTGCTAGTTGTATGTGCTGCTTTATACTGCAATGGCATTAGCTTTGTCACAACGAACGAAGTCTGTTTCTGTCTGTGGAGACTTTGTATCAAATGGTTAACAGTTAAGCTTTTTGATCGGCATCTATATATAATGTGTTCATCAAAATAAAAACAAGCTTTAGGGACTCACGCGCTGCTCATGGCTGTTTTGTTCATGGGTCGGGTCGAGAGCAACTCCTCAGACGTCACTTGCCGTAAAGACAGCTCCGATTGGTCGCCAGTTGTCAAACAATTGTACGTCATATCCGATCATTTATTACGCTTGAAACATACAAAAAAAAAATAAGCACAAAATAAAAGTATTTCAGATTCGCGTTAAAAACACAGATTTTTTTTATGAGCATGAAAGAAACTGTGCAATATTACAGGAAAACTATATAAAAAAAAATGTAAACAGGGTATAAATAGATTTTATTACGGTTATTTTTGTAGGAAAAGTGGATTGCATATCTGACCATTAAAAGCAACCAGAGTAATTTACTATATAATTCCCTTCACAAGTCAGTTCAGTTAGCAGTAATTAATGTTAGGTGTAAAGGACTTAAAGTTATTAATAAAATATAAGTATGGTATCACATATTTCTCTATCTACATACATACATACTGTGTAGGCTGTTGATCTCAGTTTCGAAACAATTTAGACCATAAAAAGAATTTGAACAGAAAAGTATTTCTTAACATTTCTTAACTAAAAAGTGTTATTAAGTTATAATACACATATGACTCAATATGCTTTAAAAAAAAACACTCCACCAGTCTGATTAAACATGACAAATTCCCTTAATTCTGTAGCAATGTATGAAATAAATACCTACAGTTCATTGATTTTTTTTACATACTTTAATTATTTAATTGTAAACAGATGTGATATTTATATCATGACGTGGAGGGACAGAAGAGTGTCTGGGCTGTGCTCTGTCCGATCCTGTCTTCCTCCAGTGACTGCTGGATCAAAACAGTCTCCCGGCTTTCTAAAGAAGACACCTCCAGAAGATCCGAAAAAGTCCTAAAATGAAAATAAAACCAAACAAAGACAGAATCAGTTAAAGTTTAAATAAAGAATGGCACAGAGAAAATATCAAGCTCTGTAAGGTGCGAGTCTTTCATATATGGAGACTGAAGTGCTCCTACCTTGTCAACTGTTGGCTGATTTCATTAGCTGTATTGTTCATCTCTCTAAGACACTCCGTTGAAGCCTCACAGTCAGTGGGCATGTCCTTTGTATAGTGTTGCAAGACTTGTGCACTCTGATTCAGACATTCAACAGCTTTGTCTGTGTAAGAGAAAAATATTCAATAAATCAGGTTGGAATCACTATAAAATCTAAAATCATCATTTGAATTGACAAAACATTTGCAAACAGAAAGTACATCAAATTATAAAATAGTATCCACCACACAATAATGTTTTTTCCTCCAGGTTAAGCAAATCTGACCTAAAAACTGGCCTGCGTCCTCTCCGATGTCCACGTTCTTCACAGGAAGCTTGTGTCTCGTGGCATCAATGGCAGTGGCAAATGACTTGTACTCCTCTGCAAATGTGTTTGCTGCAGCAGCAACAGGACCTAAAGCCTCGATCTGCATCAAAGAAGAGGGACTCAAAGGTGAGATGTGTCATCGTGGAGATTTAAGCAAGTGTTAAATGGGCGAAGATGACCTGTAAGTCCAGTAAACTGTTGAGCTGTTTCTGCTTTTCCAGCAGCAGATACTGCCGTTTCTTGCGATTAACCTGAGCGGATAACTGCTGCTCTTTCTCCATCACAGCCAGAATATTCCTCTCAGCCTCCTCTCTCATTTTTCGGGTATTATGCTCAATCTAAACAGAGAAACATAAAAACATTACCAAACGAGCACTTTAAATACACATTTCAAACACAACATATAATATTAAGACAAAATCAAATCCATAAAACTGAAACATGTACATGTAAAATATTTAATCATAAAAATGTTTTGGATTAATGTTCCATATTTGTTACTATTCTGCATATTACACATGCATTAAATGAAGTAGCCATTTGTTTTTGTCTGGTGTTGCTAGCTCTCCTTACTTCAGTACAGGTGAAATATGGAAAGTACAGTTTTATAGGATACTATTATAGTTTTTATTAATTTTGAATCATTTTTATATTTTTTTCCATTTTAATTTTAGTTTGTGTTTTAGTCATTTTTTATTTTTTATGTCTATATAGCTTTAACTAATTTCATTTCAGTTATTTTAGTGTATCACTTTAATTAAAATGAGAAATGTTACAAGCTCAAATAGTTTTTTTAAATAATTTATTTTATATTTATTACAGTTAAAGCTTATTTTATTTCAGGTAATAATTTTTTTAGGGTTTTAATTTTAATTATTTAACTATAATAACACTGGATGAAAAACTCACTGTGATTTTGCCAGATTTTTGTAAAAAAATGTTATAAATATCTGACAAAAAGTAGGGACACAACTGTGAATCCTTATATTGTACTACCTAGGCTAGCAGTAGTTAAAAAGACAGTTTTTTCTTAATATAATATTATAAATAAATAGAATAAGTAATATAATAATAATAATAATTGAATTTATAACCTTTTTAAAACTGTTTTTAAAATACATAATTTTTATAAATCAAATATTGAGGTTTGAGGATAGGTACTGTCAGGAGTGGCGAGTAATAATATAATGTCATAATTTTAATAAAATTAATACAAAATTAAATAGTATATTTGTGTGAAGAACATTCTAGTGACCATCTCTGATTAAATTTAAAGAGAAAATGTTGCTATTTTAAAAACAAATTACAGGTAAAGTTGTGAGGCACTTTCAGTACGTTAAATTAACTTAACTTCACACCTTAGCAGTAAGGAAGGCCAGCAAAAATGTCTCCATCGCCATGTCCCTTTCTTCATCCTTGGGGTCCGCTGTGCTTAGCAGCACAACTTTATCTGGAAAATATAATCAACATATTAAGCAAACAGGTCTGGTGAAAAATTCCTATTACTCCAGACTACGAGTACCACACCTTTAATGACGGAGACATCAAAATCTGGACGTATGCAGTGACCATCCAAAACAGTCGACTGGAAGACATTTCCTCCCACATTTGAGGATTCCAGAATGCTGGTGACCACTGTGGGAAAACATTACATGCTCAATAGCACTTTCACCAGTCATCATGTAAGGAATACTTATCTAATAAAACAATACTCATTCTGCAACCTAGACCCAAGAAATGCAAAAGTGAATATTTAATCTGACATATCTATAGTCCAGCCAAACACTCACAGGCAGAGTCATTGTCTGTCAGAGAGCTTATTGTACGTCTCGACGGTACGCTCTCCCTCGGCTTTCGCGGGTTGCTTACTCTGGGAGAGGACGGTCTGGGCGGCATCAGCATCGACTGCTGCTGTACGCTGCTCTACAGAACACACCACATAAAACATCAACCCTCACATTCATATCAAATGCCACAGAGAAAGAGACACAGCAGCACAGATGTAGAAACTATGGAGACGTAACATACAGTTTCTTCCCATTATTTTGCTGTCAGTTACCTTTGCAGGAGCCTTTGTTTCAGTCTGCATGTACCTAGACTTCACAATTGTGCCCGACGCTAGAAATCAGTAAGATCAGACAAAACTGTTAGTAAAACAACAATGAGTTTTGACACTGAATGAAAGGAGGATGCAAGTCATGCTCTCACCTTTGGTTTTCCTCCTTGCACCGCTGTTATTTCCGCTGCTGGCTTCATTTTCAGTGGATAAACTAAAAACAGAGAAGCTGTCTGAATATCCGCATACACATGAAACTGACTAAGAGTAAATTAATATAAAAAAGAATGAGTTCAATGACAACTTGATACTATTTTGTGATGTCCAAATGAGTTAAATTTGGACTTTGAACCACTTTTACTTAAGTAACAAATGCAGATATTTCATGACTTTTAGTTGTATGGCGTAATAATGTCAATGTCAGATACAGAAATTACTTTACTTTTCACGGTGTTTAACTTTTAAAGCAAGTCAGGTTGGTTTATTCATTGTCATTTCCGAACTATGTCGCCTGGGTCACGGTGAGGAAATATTTTAACATACATTTAAATAAATACATTTTAAATATCCAACTTTACAAGACCAACATTAGCACAAGTGTTTTCACAAGAGGTAATAAATATAATACTTTACAGAAAACAATGTAAAAACAAGCGAGTCAGAATGCTGTTTATATTGTACAAGCAACAAGTTATATATAAACAATGAACTTAAATGAATTAAAGAACTAAATGTGAAATCTTACTTTTTTGAGTCACTCGAAGCAGTTTTCTCCACTTTACGTATGTTTAACGGCTTTTTGGATGCCATTACATTACACAGACCCAAACCGATATGAGGACTGTTATGATGTTTGTTTGTTTCTTACCGCGTTTTGCTGATGTTCTTCCTCTGTGCTTGACGCGCTAACATGAGTTGCGTTCAGCGCCACCTGTCAGACTGGAGTGTAACTGACAGAAATAAAATAATCCAACCTGCGAATAGTTTCACAATTTTCCTGTACATTGCCAAATTACGTTTTTTTTCCATTGTGATGAATCACTTAGGAGTAATTGACTTCCAGTTTTAAATAAATTTTATTATAAAAAGCCGAAAAAGCCGCCGTTTTGACGTAATAAATATGCAGCTTTAATATATAGGTCACAGAACCATATGCACATGCTCTTAGTGAAATGTTGCGTCATTTGTATCACAGATAAATTATACAATAAAAAAACTTTGTATTGGAAGAATTTCGTTTTAAACGATTTACATGATAAACTAAAAGTTAAAAGTTAAACACAAAACCCAAACAAAAAATGCACAAAATTATATATAAATATATAAAGAAATATATTTTAAGAACGTATTTAAAATGTTTTCTCCTGTCAATCAGTTGTCAGGCGAGTGTCCGCCCACTTCTAATGGTCAGTGATTAACCCCCGTCCATGTTTACACCGCTCCGGCTCTTTATTTGCACATGGAAATAATTTATCCAGCAGCATGCAGAGCTGGTCATATTGGGTTTAGAGGTCTGTAACCCGCGTAAGTGAAGATAGCCATGTGTTTCATGTGTTTCTTCATCCCTTTGGAGTTGAAATGTTAGGATTAGCCATAGTTAGCAAGAAAAGTTGGCTGAGTTAGCTCAAACTCTGCGTCTGCGTCTTTTTAGTGCTGCTTATCAGAGACTTGATGGATTTAAGAGATGAATTTGTTTAATTATGGTCCATTTTCTTCTCATAATGTTTGAAAGCGCTGCTGCTTCAGCTCGACGTTATTAGCAAGCACCTAGCAAAGCTAAGACTCCGAGACGCTCCCACTTTCATGGGTGTTTTCACAAGTTTCTTCATGTGTAAATAATGAATGATTATGAATGTAGTTTGGTTATGGGAATTATTAGGAGAGCTTCAAATGGGAGCATGAAATTTGCTGTGTGTTAAGTGTTAATGAAACTTTGCATTATGTATGTGCTCTGAACTTTAGTGATAAATATTTGTTATGGCATCTGCTTTTACTCGGACTTCTTCCATGGAAATTGCAGAAATCCTATGCTGTTGTGAGGCTCTTTTCACCAAACCCCTCGATAAATAATACATATTTATGTGACAGATCAGTTTCGCTGCTCTCTCGTTTCACAGCTCAGAGAAAGTTCATGAGAGGTTTGGAGTTTCAGTGTTTCCATTACCGACTCACTCAGTAAGCTTGTTTGACACATTTGCTAGTCACTAGTTTTACCAGATCTGCCATAAGTCATGATTTGAACGCATATTGTTGTATTCAGGAATGCTTCTCAAGGTGGTGTTGGGATCATGTGTCTTTTGTGCTCTTCAGGGTTGGAGAAAAGCTGGGATGGCCTCTAAACTATTCGATAGACTTCGCCGTACACTGTTCAAAGAAGGGGAGCTTCCTTCGGAGACGGACGGTCACGGAGCAGATGACTTTCCAGAAAGTTCTGAGCTTGAGGACGACGCAGACTGCGTGTCGGCCAGACTCGGAGGAACCCTGTGCTTTGAGGGTGAAGGGGTCCTGGACTCTGAGGATGCAGGAGACGCGTCGGGGCCAGACAGCGACTCTGACTTCTTTGGAGAGTCCATAGATAATGCATGTAGCAGCACAGGTAGTCATCAATAACACGTGTGTTTTTCAAAGCTGGAGTTGTAAGGTATATTCTATATAGATGAGTAGAATAGATGAATTTGAAGGTGAACTGAAGTCCAGGATTCACATTCAGAAGCTGTTAAAGGGATAGTTCACCCAAAAATTAAAATTCATTTACTCACCCATGTGTTGCTCCAAAAGTTATATTATTGTTCAAAAGTTTAGGATTTAATTCAGATTTTGTAATGTTTTTAAAGAAGACTTTTATGCTTACCAAGACTGCATTTATTTGATAAAAATATAGTAAAAACATAAATATTGTGAAATATTAGTACAGTTTAAAATAGCATTTTTTTGTGTTAATATATTTTCAAATGTAATTTATTCGTGTGATGCAAAGCTGAATTTTCAGCATCATTACTCCAGTCTTCAGTGTCACATGATCCTTCAGAAATCATTCTAATATGCTGATTTGCTGCTCAAGAAACATTTATTATTATTATCATAAATGTGGAAATTATATAACTTTTTTTTCAGAATTCTTTGATGAATAGAAAATTTAAAACGAAAAACAGCATTTATTTAAAATAGAAATCTTCTGTAACATCTTTACTGTCACTTTTGATCGGTTTAATGCTTCCCAGCTGCATAAAACTAATGTTTATACAATCTTACTGACCCCAAACTTTCAGCTTTACAGTAGTGTATGCTATTATTATTGATCGGAGCTGTCAAGCTCCAAAAAAAGACACAAAAAAAAAACACCATAAAATTAGTCCGTTTGACTTTACACGGCACATAGCAAATGTTCTGAAGTCATACAATAAGGAATAGATTAAAATTTGGGACATCATCTCAGCACTTGCAGTTCTTGAATCTCCATTCTGTGTATTCAAATTGATGTGTGGCCAAACAATCTGGAAAGCAGTGTTTTTTGGTGTCAATGATGTAAAATCTGTCAGCTGTGGTCATTGTGAACTGCCATTGTATGGAAAAGAGTTAATATGGAAAAAATACTTCTTTTAAAAACAGCATGTGGTTTGGAACAAGCTCTTCCTTTAAGCGCACTCTGAACATGTTGGATATGGTTCTTGAGAATTTACAATAATGTGTTTGTAGGCAGATTTCACTTCTTTTTTTAGTTCACTTTTAGTTCACTTGATGCTTCACAGTTGCAGTTAATCTTGTCTTTGGTTTATAGAGACCAGCCCTATAGGGCCTTCCCCAAAAACCTCGAACATGATCACCAGACAACTACAAGAAAATTGGCGGAGCTCAAGAACTCGTTGCATTCCTGAAAAACTCATTTTTGAGGTGACTGATGCCAGTGTTGTCCATGAAACTAATTCCAAGTATGTGGTAAGTACACTAACCCCAACTGTGAACCATTTCGTTCAAGTTTCAAGAACCATTTTTCAGTCGGCCAGTTTTTTTTTTTGTTTTGTTTTTTTTTATGTTACCAAAACAGTTTTTATACCAACATTCAAACAAGCATTTAATATTTGGGAAAAAGACCAGTTAGACTGTTCACACTCAAGAAAAGGAAGACTTGTAAAAATCTAGTTTTAAACGCGTAAGTTTTAGAAAATTAAATGTACTCTTTGTATACATATTGGTTTTATATGGTTTTGAAAAATTTGTATGTAAATTTAAGGACTCTAAAAATCTCCATAACTCTAAAAATGTTATTTAAGGATTCTAGAAATCTTCAAAGTCTCCATAAAGACTTTATTGGTCACGCTACATAACTTTGATTTGGTGGGCTAATATTTTAAAATATTGTTTTATATTTTTTTTCTTAGACTTTTTTTTTAATTATTATGATTATTATACATTTTATTTATAGGCGCCTTTCACGACACTTAAGGACACCATACATCAGTAAACAAAATCATCAAACAATAGGGCAGCACAGCCTACCTGCAACTAAACATTACATAAAAGCCTGAAAAAATAAATACGTTTTAAGTCTAGATTTAAAAACCACAAGACTTTGACTATTACGAATATCCACCAGTAGAGAATTCCATAGATACGGAGCAGCATAACCAAAAGCTCGTGACCCCATAGAAGTTGTCCGAGTGCGTGGAAATACAAGAGTGAGTGCAGAGGCAGATCGTAAGATACGTGTAGGAGTATTTATACAAAGGAGATCGGATGAGTATGAGGGAGCTAAATTATTAAGTGCCTTGTAAGTTAAAAGCAAGATTTAAAAGTTATGCGACATTTAACAGGGAGCCAATGCAGATTTTGTAGCACAGGAGAGATGTGCTCCGATATGGAAGTTTTGGAAATAACTCGTGCAGCCGCATTATGAACTAGCGGAGGTTTGTGTAAAAATTTAGAAGGGAGTTCATAAAACAAGGAATTACAGTGGTCAATTCGTGACGTTACTAAAGCAGGTAACACTTTATAATAACTTTCATTAATAAATAATTAACAAACATTATATAATGCTTAATGGATCATTAGTTAAATAATCATATGTTAATCATTAGGTACTGGTTAGTAAGTTCATTAGTAAACCTGAACAAGAACATTATCTCATATTTCTAGCTATGTGAATATATATTAACTAATGATCTGTTAAGCATTATATAATGTCTGTTAATGATTTATAAATGAAAGTTATTATAAAGTGTTACCCTAAAGCATGTACAAGGATAGCAGTACTCTTTGTTGAGAGTACAGGATGGAGACGATGAATATTTCGTATATGGAAAAATGCAGAACGAGTAACGTTAATATGAGCTTCAAATGTTAAAGTGCTGTCCAAGATGACACCCAGACTTTTAACCTGTTTAGATATAGAAACTAGAGAATTGTCAATTGTCATAGACCGACAACTTGACTTGGCCAGAGTGTTTTTTGAACCGACAAGAAGTATTTCTGTTTTATTACTGTTAAGTTTGCGAAAATTGCATGAAAACCAGGTTTTTATTTCATCTAAACACTGAACAAGAGAAGTCGGGGAGAAAAAGCAACGGTAGGTTTTGAAGACTGATAAAGTTGGGTTTCATCAGCGTAACAATGAAATTGAACCCCATATTTCCTAAAAATAAAACCAATTGGTAAAAGATAAATGATAAACAAAAGAGGTCCCAGAACAGAGCCCGGCGGGACACCAGTGGTAACAGGTGTAGGATTTGATTTAAACTGCTTAAGTTTTACAATTTGTATACAGTCCGTAAAATAGGAACGAACAACACTGTACCTGTGATTCCAATGGACTCCAGTCTACTTAACAGTATGGGGTGTGAGATGGTATTGAATGCTGCACTTAAGTCTAAAAGAATAAGTATTGATAAAAGACCTGAGTCTGCAGCTACTAATAAATCATTAGAAATCTTCACAAGTGCAGTCTCAACACTATGATACAGACGAAACCTTGATTGAAACTGCTCATATAAACTATTAAGAGAGAGATGAACCTGGAGCTGGGATGCAACAGTCCTTTCAAGAATTTTTTACAGAAACGGTAAATTAGAAATAGGATAAAAATTCTCAAAATTATTTGAATCTGCCCCTGGTTTTTTGAGAATACGTCTTATTACAGCAGTTTTGAATACAGGAGGAACAGTACCAGAAAGAAGTGAGTCATGCATAATATCAGTGATTTAAAGAAAAAAAAAAACGGTAAACCAGCTTTAAGCAAGTAAGTTGGAATAGGATCTAATTGACAAGGTGCAGATTTGGATTTGCGTACAATAGAGACAATTTCCTCAGTAGTTGGCAGTTTAAAAGTAGAAAAAGTTAAGTGGAAAGATTGTGCAGAGCTAGGATAGATTTACTGACAATCTGGGTTTGGTACAAACATTTGCTGATGGATGTTTTCAATCTTCTTGTTAAAAAATGACATGCCTCACACAGTGCCATGGAGTATATATTAGGAGTAAAAGAATCTGGTGGATTTAAAATATTATTAACCACAGAAAAAAAAAGAGATTTTGTATTTCCCACACCAGACCCAGTTAAACTGGCATAATAATGCTGTAGAGAGAGTAGTTATGCATGTGGTCAGCATATAACTCTTTATGCACTGTAAGTCCAGTCTTACACCGTGTCTACACCGGACGCGAGCGGCGCGACAATATACTATAGAACCCATTATAATCAGTGATGCTGTCTACACTGGATGCGGTGTGACACGACAAGTCCCCGACAGTAAACTGCTGCCTCGTTCCATCTATGACGTACTGACACAAAAATGAAAAGATTTGAAACGGTCACTTTGTCGCGTCCAGTGTAGACAGACTTTAGCTGTTGCGGCATGACAACTTTCGTATCCAGTGTAGACACGGTGTTTGTATATAAATGCTCCAGACGATGACCCTTGATTTTCATCTGGCGCAGATCAAAAGTAAACCAAGGTGCAGAGCTGACAAACATAACAGTCCTGGTTTTCAAAGGAGCATAGGTATTGAGAGTCATTTGGAGATTCTCATTGTAATGCTGCACTAATTCCTCAATAGTCGATGGATAATCTTTGCTACAAAGTGTGGTAAAACCTTCAGCAAAAAACTGAAATATCAATATTGCGAAATGTGATAATACGTCTCAGATCAGTATTACACACAGGTAAACAAACATTAAAAGATACTAGCAAATGATCTGAAATAATAAAGATTTTTAAGATTTTATTTTCAAAAATGAGGCATTTTCTTTATTACGATATCAGGACAGTTGTATCACCCTGACAATTTAGGCTTCATGCCCCCAAAAAATATCAAAATTTTAATTCCGAAAATTAAAAACCTGCTCATCGTAAAAAAGGTATATTCAGGTCATTGCATGTGTTAACTGCATTCTTTATGTATTTTTGAATAAACTATTACATCTGGACAAAAAAAAAAAAACGTAAGCGTCATATCAAGGACCCATCTAACAGTTGCAGGTTTTCTTTTTCTGATTTCACATGAAGTCAAACACACTTGTGGTCTTTCTCATCAGCTCTACACGATTCACGTCATCCATTCTGGGACGTTTGACAAAACTCCCGCGGTTATCACACGGCGCTACACTGATTTCGAACGGCTACACAGCCGCTTGCGTCGCCGTCACGGAGACGAAATGAATGGCGTGTACTTCCCTCGAAAGAAGCTGCGCAAAAACTTCGCCGCCGAGACCATTGCTAAGCGCAGCCGGGCGTTTGAGCAGTACCTGACCCACCTTCACTCCCTTCCTGAACTACAGAGCACACCTACATTTCTTGAGTTCTTTTATCTGGGTGATCTGCGTGCGGGCCAGATGCTGATGCGAGTGGGCCGGTACCAAGACGCCCTAGGCTCTCTTCTTAATGCTCTGCGACTCCAGGACAAGTTAGGATGCCATCAGCTCCTGCAGCTCAACCAGCTCCAGAGGGTTCATTGGTTCTTCACGCTCTCCGCCTTGGTCACCTGCTTTCAAGAACTAGAGCAGCTCAGTGAGGCTCAGGAACACTGCGACCGAGCCCTGCAGGACCTAGCGCCTTCCCAGGAGGCTTTGCAGCAGCACCAGTTGCACCCTCTGCTTATCCCGCTCCTCCAATCCAACGTCAGACTGTCCTGGAAGATCTCGAAGGACAAGCGGCGCTGGGAAGCTCTTCTGCAGGAGATCCAGGAGCAGGGGATTGATATCGGGAATCAGCCGAACCTAAAGGAGTGTCTAATCAAAGAGAGCATCGAGGACAGCGAGGGGCTGGTCAGGGCTAAGGGCAAAAGTGAAGATGTCCCATAAACGTTCAGGAATTTTTCTATTTTTTTGAGGGATGTTTCTGAAAGCAATATGTATGATCGATTACTAAGGAAACCTGTGGAATTAATACTAAGTAATATAATGCACAACATGCCTATCACTTTAAAGCTCACATACATTTCATGGGCACATTTCCGTAGCATTTATTATAGCCTATTTATTTATTTGGTAACACTTTACTATATGATTCAATTCGTTAACATTACTTAAAGGAATAGTTCAGCCAAAAATGAAAAATTGTTGAAAATTTACTCGCCCTCAGGCCATCCAAGATGTAGATGAGTTTTTTTCATCGGAACAGATTGAGAAATCTAGCATTACGTCACTTGCTCACCAGTTGATCCTCTGCAGTGAATGGGTGCCGTCAGAATGAGACTCCAAACAGCTGATAAAAACATCACAATAATCTACATGACTCCAGTCCATCGATTAATGTCTTGAAGTGTTTGTAAGAAAGTCCATAATCCATAATAACACTTTCTCCAGTGGAAAAGTTAATTTCTGTTGTGTTCTCACATAAAATTCCAAAGATATATTTGTTCAGAACTGTTTTGGACGGTTTTCACTTATAAAACTTACATTATGGTTTAAACGCCTTAGTGTTGGATTTGTTTATTACAAACACGCAGCTTTTCGCTTCACAAGATGTTAATTGATGGACTGGAGTCGTGTGGATTATTGTGTTGTTTGGACTCATTGTGACGGGCATATTCACTGATAAATAATGTTACATTTCTCTCATCTTGAATGGCCTAAGGGTTAGTACATTTTCATTTTTGGGTGAACTATTCCTTTAATGCATTACGTATTATGAACTAATACTTTTAACGGCAACAATAGTGTAATATATAAAAATAACATTCACCTAGATTAATAAATGCTGTGAAGAATTATAATTTATTAGCTCATGATAGCTCTAGTGCATTAACTAATGTTAAAAAATTGAACTTGTAAATTGTTACCCTTTATTTTTGTATTCTATAAAATACTGAACTGGGTTTTGGTGTGACACAGAACGTTTGAACCACTTGATTCCTTATTTTCAGCTGTCATGAGTTGCAGCCCAGTTGTTTTGCGTCTTATGTTTAGTAGCCTTGAGCTACAGAAACATCAACCTTCATTTCAGCACCTCTAGCACACATTATTTAGAGTGGACATTGGAAAGAATTAAGCGAGGCGGTCTACTCTAAACTCTGCTGTTTACATTCAGCTGCCTTGGACTGATTTGAAGTAAAGGGAATTTCCTCTTTTGGTGTAAATTATGAATGAAGTTGTCAAATACAGAAGCCTTCACATAGTAATATGTTTTTGTGATGCTGTAAACTACAGTTTTAACCTTTATTTTTAGAGTACTTTTAAAACTTCTGGTCACAGCAGTTTATGTAGCCAGTGCAAAAAAAACACTAAACAACTTTTAAGAGATTTTTTCCCCATATAATTTGATGCCTTTATATGTCTAACAGAGCCTTTTTATTGAATGATTTTGAATACACACAGATACAGAAAACACTATCATTCCACCAATACTGCATAGTTGTTAATTTTAAAAATTAAAGTTTTAATATCTGAGCCCATTTTTATACTATATATATATATATATATATACAGTGGGTACGGAAAGTATTCAGACCCCCTTAAATTTTTCACTCTTTGTTATATTGCAGCCATTTGCTAAAACCATTTAAGTTAATTTTTTTTCCTCTGTATATATATATATTTTTATTTTTTTTATTATTATTATTATATATATATATTTGTTTTAAACAAATTGTCCCAAGATTCAGATAATTGTGTATACTGGTTAAACAGATTACTGTTTTCCCCTCTGTGTTACCTACTAAATTTGAACTTGAATATATTTATTTATATATTTATTTATTGTTGGGTATAGTTGAATCATTAAAGTAATATACTCTTCACAATGCCGTTTTCACAAATTTGGTAATTTTAAAAGTGCATTTTGGCAAACTAAAAGGCCTTTACATTAAATAAATGCTTCATTCAGGTTTTGTATTTCAAATTATTTTATGTACTGATAGTTCAAGGAAAATTTTCAGTAGGTCAATAAACTATTTACATAATTCTCAGTTGTACTGAATTTGTACTGTTCTTTGCGAATGGAAAAGTATTGTGTAACGTTCTCCTCTCTTTTCCAGTTCCTCAGTAAGTTTGGGTGAAAGAGTAGACAAGAGCAGCATGGCTGTGAATTGTATTATTTATTTATTTGAGTAAATTAGTTAGTCATTTAGTTCCATCTGTATCTTTTCAAATCATATTTAACTCATATTTAAAGAACCAGTCTCGGCTTCCAGGGGCTGATTGCATAAACTGCTTAGACTAGTCTTTTTTTTTTCTGGTCATAACTTGAATAAGTCGGTTACATAAAAACATATTGGTCTAATTTGAATCCAAAAAGTAAGACAGATTATTATCTATTGGCTAACTACTAGTTGGTTAGACTAGATAAGGCGTATGTGGCTGTGTTTATGCAACTGGCCCCAGTTCTCAAAACTTTATATGGCCCTTTGATTGCATTGTTTTTTTATATCTGTGAATCACATTTGAAAAATATTTTATCTTTCGAGAGCATAGCCCCTCACACATACTGTTCTCTAAAGGCCCCAAATGTGATATTCATTTACAACACTATACACTGCATTGAGAGCACAGACACCTACAGTACAGCTTAGTTTTAAGCATCTGTCACCTGCCATGTGCCATCTAGTGGTCACATGAAACTTTACAGCATTCCACTAGATGCACATTACTGTCAGTGCGTAATCTATTCTAAAGAGATGCATACAGTCAATTTTATATTCTATACAAAAAGTCCTATTCACTTGAAATCATATGGCACTGCTAACATGCATGACTGCTGACAAATATCTCTATGTGCCTCATCCACAGAGGAAATGCCAGTTCTTTTTTCCCAAAAATCCTTGGGGAAAAAAAGCTGTCCTGTGCGACTGTTTCCATGGAGAAATTGAGGGGTTTCCACTAAGGTTTCTTCGAGTAAAATTAACCAGTGTGTAAGAGATTAGTTTCAGATCAGCCCACACACTGCCATAAAACAAGTTTAAACCATGTCTGGTATGATTGTATTGTACAAAGTTAAATTCAAACTATTATGTGGCAAAAAAAAGTATCTTATCTTACTTCATCCAAACTTAAGCAGTATACATTGCAAACTTATATGGATGGCTCTACCACAGTCACGTGGCTTTTACAGATAGAGTGATTAAAAAATACTTACACTTCTGGAACTGAGTGCCCATTCTGTAAAGATGGCACTGTCCTGAATGGGGTTACATTGTGCCAGTTGAGCAACTACCATTGAGAAAATGCAAACAAAAACAACTTGAAAGCATGAGTATTTACTGTTCCCTTTTTACAGCTATGGTCAGGGCCGTTTCTAGCCATTTTGATGCCAAGGGTCACAAAAACTGGGTCCTGGAGGGCCACTGTCCTGCAGAGTTCAGCTCCAACCCTAATTAAACACACCTGAACCAGCTAATCAAGGTCTTACTAGGTATACTTGAAACTTCTAAGCAGGTGTTGGAGCTAAACTCTGCAGGACACCGGTGCAGCAGTCGATTCTGTTCCCCTCTGGAATTTGTGTTCCCCCTCGGGTTGCCAGGTCTGTGTAATAAACTCGACCAAATAGTTAATCAAACATTGCCCAAAGTAGCCCAATTCCGCGGAATAAATACTGTGGATTTGGCAACACTGCAGCATGCAAATACACCAAACACAACTGGATGTACGGAAAGCAAAAAGAGACAAATGTGTTGCTACACTGCAGCATAGTAAAATGATTCTCACACTCCAGTTAATGTTCTGTGATTTTTTTTATTCATCTTGCAATTGTTCCTTTGTTTATGTCCGAGTTTTTGAAGTTTAATTTTGCCTATGCAAATTAGTGTAATCTGTCCGTGCTGACGTCCAAACTCAGGGCATAGGCTATTACTGTTTCCATATCAACAGTACATTTTAATTAATATTATATTTGATTAATCTGGTTACCTTCTCACTGATACAGTGGAATATATTTAATCAGAACACTTATCCAAACCTTTTTTTTTTTCACAAGAAAGCCTTGCATACAAGATGCAAGTGCGGAACATAATGTTGTAATTGTAATTGGCATTCAAGAAACTATACTTACCTGACTTAAAGCAACTAGCACATTGACAATAACCTGTTTTCCAATTTCAGTTTAAATAGGCCTATTCCTTCAATTGGGCCTTTATAACCTCATTGCAGGTTATTTGTTTAGATTTTAACAATAAAGCTATTTCAATAGATGCAAACTTTATCACATCTCCTCAAAAAACAATGTAAAGTTTAGAAGAAAAGTGGTTGCTGGACAAAAAGAGGCCAGCCAATTTTTATTTTAGAGTTAGAACATTGTGGAACCGGAAAAAACAAGCTTGCCATTTCAGCTAGATTCTACTGGCCTGGAATGGGGGTGGACATTGATAAATGGGTAAATAGGCTACAAAATATTTTCCTTTTCAACATTGCTGTGAGACATATAAACTGATTATGTTATGGTATGCATTTCTCATGTGCTTATTTCTGAACATCAGGATTTGCAGTGTGCCCAGTGCCAGTTTAGCAGACGGTCCATCAAGCAGGAGCCCAAGTACATCCCAATATGTGTATGTAAGCTTGTTGTACACAGATGTGCATGGGTTTTGAGATAGGTAAGTCATGAGGTTACAAAATGTAAATGTATTAATGTTGCTATTTTAATTGTAAGGTGGACAAGCCTCTGGAACAGCTGGGCATGAATTTAGTGGGGAAAGTCACCAGGACCAAAAATGGAAATAAATACATTTGTGTCCTGGTTGACTATTACACAGAAAATAGCCTGTGCTATTCTGAATAAATCTGAAGGTCTCTCACTGCATTAATTTCTTTTACAGATTTGGGGCACCAAAGATAATTCTTACTGACCAAGGCACAGAGTCTGTTAACCAGGTTTGTAGTTTATTGAATGAAGGAAAGAAGAAGAAGAAAAAAATCAGTATCCATGAAAATGTTCATGTGTGCATAGGGTTCTGATTTGTACACAACATTTATGGTTCATTGTATATTTATTTTAATGTATGTTTTGCACACACCACACACGAGGATTGTTTAAGCTTTCAGTGCACACATAAATTCAACAACAGCAAGGCATATAATAAAAAAGAAAAATATATTAGCATAAATTAGTAAGTATAAGACAGTATAAAACAGAATAGCCAAAGCCTTAAGCATCGCATTGAAATCGGTAATAAATTTGATTGGAAAAAAATAAAAAATAAATTTCAAGTTGAAAAACCTCTCTTCTTAAAACTATTTTAAAGTTTCGGATTAAAGACGGTATTTTGAACCATTTGACTTGCCGTACATCCAGTTGTGCTTCTTGCGCACGCTAGTTCTGATCGTACGTATGGTAACTAGGCAACTACGTAAGAATTGTAGTATGGTTGCGTAAAGGGAAACGGGCATTCCTAGGGGAACAGAATCGACTGCTACACCGGCCCTCCAGGAATTGAGTTTCACACCCCTGCCCTAGGCGAAATACCTATTCCTATTCCCCTTTAAATGACGCGACGCTCTGCCCTCTATGTGTATGACGCTGCTCCCATTAAGTGCTGTTAGAAGCGATTTAATTGATTCAGCATTTCAACACTTCTTTAAGGATGCGTTTAAATTCGACAAAGCGGTTTAATAAAGGATGTATTGATCTTGTGAATTAGCGAATTTTACTATACCAATATTTTTTAATTGGCCATTGAAGTTTTATAAGACTATAGAATTCCTTAATATCTTTGATGTTACACAACACACTGATCCTTTAGCCATGCATTGGTGCAAAAATGCACACCTTTTTGAGGTGCAAGTTAGAAAAGAAAGTTTTCTAGAGGCAAAATATAAATGCACACTCACTTAAAGGCGTCATATGATGCGATTTCAATTTTTCCTTTCTCTTTGGAGTGTTACAAGCTCTTGGTGCATAAAGAAGATCTGTAAAGTTGCAAAGACTAAAGTCTCAAATCCAAAGAGATATTCTTTATAAAAGTTCAGAGTCAGCCACACCTACCTAAAACGGCTCGTTCTAACACGCCCCCACATATCTACGTCACGATGTGGGAAGATTTGCATAACGCCGCCCAAATGTTCACGCAAAGAAAGAAGGCGTAACTTTTATTCTCGCTGTAGTATTGTTGCTGCCGCCATGTCGTGAAGGCACTGTGTTTCGTTGTGAAAGCGAAACTACTTTGTTTGGTCTTCCAAAAGAGGACGATATCTGCTTCGTCATGCCTAGAGCTGATCCGTGCTGGTCGCTGAGGAAATACAACAACTTCGCGCTGTGGATCGCCGGATCGGCTTTCACCGTGGACGAAGTGGAGTCCAGCCCGAGGTCGTCACATGTGGTTGCCGCAAGCCTCCGTCGAATCCGCCGGGCGCGCCGTTCTCAAGCCCGCCGTGTGTGACGCTGTGTGTTTCGTTGAAAGCATTTCATTACACGAAATACACCAATTAATGTTCTTTTTAGCAACATCATATGACCCCT